GAGTTGCCAGGCAGGGGAACTGGGGCGGAAGCGCGGGCGGGATGTGGGATTGAAGGGGACGGGAGCTGGCGGTCGTTCTCAGGTTCTGAAGGAGGGCCGTGGCGAGCAGCACACAGCCCGGGCAGACCTTTCATCAGCTTTGCTTGCGCTGTCGGGATCCAGGTGTGACCCTGAAGAGCAAGGGCACCTCCGTGATGACAGACTAGGCATGGACGGGATCTCAGGAGAACCCTAAAGGGAAGAGAGCAAAGGACAGGGACTCTGGGAATGGCCACATTTAAGGAGAAGAGAGAGAAGAACAAATAGGGCACGTCCAGGAGCTAGGCGGGCGGGGCTGAAGAGGGTCCCGGGCATCAGATGCACTGGGGCCGACAGGGATGCTGAGTTAAGAACACAGACCAGGAGCTTGGGAAGAGGAGGCCACCCCCATCTGAGGACTTCGCTGGTGAAGGGAGTGGAGATCAGAGCCCAGCCTCCCTCCGGAGGCCGCCCTGGAAGCAGGCACTGCAACTGTCAGAGGGCAATGTGTTCCCACTCACTGGCCTCTGAGAGGCTCTGTGAGGGCAGACTCAGCCCACTGGCCCTTTCCCATCCACACAGTCTCGTCATGAGCTTATGCCTGGCCTCTGATGCGGTGAAGGTTCCTCTCCTTACGTGAGGAGGCTTCCGTCCACGGGAGGTGAAGTGTCCTCGTCACAAGAACGTCTGAGAACAGGTTTAACAGATTGGTAGACTGGAAGATTTACCCCGACTGAAGAGAATTTAACAGGATCTGAGTTAAAAAGAAAACAAGACTCAAACGTCAACATCTAAGCCAAGAGACAAAGGCAGGGAGCAGGGCGTTTAGTCTCCACGGCTGGCGGGTGTTACTGCCAGGGTGTGTCTGCCTCTGCAGATTGGAGCAATTTCCTCTCCCTCCACCCTCATCCCCACACCAGCCGGCATCGGGCAACCTAATCCAAATGCCACATGCCAAGCCTACTGACAGATTCAAAGGACTTCAAGGCTGGAGGGGCCCCTCGAGGTGACTGTCAGCTGAGAACCAGGGCCTAGCAAAGCTGCTGCCTGCAGGCCAGGTCCTGCCCCGGCCTCTGGGGGGTTTCCTGGTGTGCGGGGACGCCAGGGGCTCACACAGTCTGGCTGCTCTCGAGCAGCAACAGCAGAACTGAGCAGTTGCACCGGAGACCGTCTGGCTTGAAAATCTAAACTCTTTACTACCCAGCCCTTTATGGAAAATTTGAGGAACCTGGCGGATATGGCTGGCTACCTAGCTAGCTGTGCTCCTATCGTGAGCAGACGGACCTTCCTCTTTCAACCTGGGCGAATTGTGATGCTTGAAAAAAGAACCAGGAATAATTTTTAGAAGTCAGAGTTTTCCATTAAGTGGCTCGGCCGGATTCCAGAGTTTCTATTCATGGACGGTAGGGCAGGACCGGGCGCACAATCCTCAGACCTCACTTTTGTTTCTGCTCAATCCCTTGTCCTTTGAACCAGCACAATAAAAGTGCTTCAATAAGCAGGGTCAAGTAGGCTGGACCAGAGAGAAATGTGAACACGAGATTACGGCTGCGATCAGAGGCCGAACGCCCTCAGCCACACAGCGTGAACCGAGAGCACCTTTATTATAAACAGCTGTCTGGCTGCTATAGAACAGACGGCAACCGCATTTTAAACTGTTTTGTCCGAGTGAATGAAGCATGGTCATTTTGGAGAACAGGGAAGCAAAGTTTTAAAAGAGCTGAAAAGCTTTTCAAATGCCCATATTTTCTATGTTCCCGAGGGACTTTGGTCACTTCAGTTCCTACGTGGGATGTGAAGTGGTCCCACATCAGGGGGGCTCTGATCTCCCCTCCCTTCACCAGCGAAGTCCTCAGCCGGGGGCGGCCTCCCCTTCCCAAGCTCCTGGTCTGTGTTCTTCCACAAGTATAGAAGCATCAGCTCTTTTGGTTTGGGACTGATGTGTAAATGAGAATCAGTTAACTTGGGAAGTGCGTCCACCGAGCCGTCCAGAGTTAGCTGGACATCTTCTCCTTAGGTGAGGAGACTTCTGTCCACGGGAACTGCTGGTCTCTTTGGGAAGCAGGGGGGCAGATACATCAAAAGTCTCAATGGAATTTATGTCTTTTGACCCAGCAATTCCCCTTCGAAGAATGTGTCCTAAAGAAACAGTGATGTGGAAAAGATTTATGTACCACACGCACTATTTAAAAGAGCCAAAAATCGGAAATAATTTAAATGTCCAGCAATTGGATTCTGCTTAAACAAATTGTCATACATTTATATGGTGGAATGTCATGAAGCCTTTAAAATTATGATTTAGAAGAAAATGTATTAACCTGGAAAATGTTCATAGTATATTAGGAAAAAAATATCAGAATAAATATGATCACTTGGAAAATATCTCAAAGAAAATAAATCAAAACATTAGCCAAGTTTATCTCTGGGGGTGGGATTTTAAGTGTCCTGTACATTTTTCTTCATGCTTTGGTGTTTGTACTTTCAGTATCATGTGTCTTGGTGTAGATATTTTTTCCTTGGACTTGAGATCTATTGGGCTTTTGAGTCTATGGATAGGATCTTTGATTAATCCTGGCAAATTCTCAGCTGTAATCTTTTCAAATATTGTCTCTGCTCCTTCTCTGTTTCCTGTCCTCTGGTTACTGATTAGACATACCCTGGACCCTCACTCTCTGTCCTCACGTCCTTGAACCTCTTTTTCATTCTTCCCATTTCTGTGGCTCTCCCTGCAACATTCTAGTCATTCCTTCAACTGTATCTTTAGTGTTTCTTCATCTGTGTGTTCAATCTATCCATTGAGTCTTAAATTTCAAATATCATTATTATTTTTTAAAATTTCTAGAACTTCTATTTGGTCATTAGTTATAATTTCTTGTTCTCTGCACATATTTTTAATCTTGCCTTTAATTCTTTAGACATAGTAAACATAGTTCAATTACATTCTGTCTGATAATTCTAAAACCTAAAGTCCTTGTAGGTCTATTTCTGCTGTCTGTTGTTTCTGTTTATTCTCAATCATGGAGCCTCATTTCTGTTTCTTTTTTTTTTTTTTTTTAATATTTTATTTTTTAATTTTTTGGCCAAGTGGCTTGTGGGACCTTAGTTCCCGGACCAGGGATCAAACTCGCACCCTCAGCTGTGAAAGCGCCAAGTCCTAACCGCTGGACCGCCAGGGAAGTCCCTGGAGGCTCATTTCTTTTGTGCCTGTATGAGTTTTATCTGTGAGCTCTGTAAGAGTAAATTAAAAAATGGAATTTTCTGGTTGCTGAAAGGGAAAGAGAGTATTACCTCTCCAGTTGCTACTCACTGGAAAATCATTTGTGGGTTTCTTAGAGATGAAAGATAAAGAAAAATTCCTCCAGAGAGGAAGTGCAGGGGTTTTTTTTCCCCGTTTGGAGATGCCTTAAATCCAGCTCTCAGTGTGAAGCGACTTTATTGAACTAGGAACGTGTGTTTAGGCTGCAAATCTGCAATGAGAACTAGCGATGGTTGTAAGTACCTGGGGCAGGATACCCTGTCCCCTGGGCACCAAGGTTTAAAGCAGCAACGTTTCTTGCAGTCTTTGGAGCAGGGGAGGGACTTCTAATTCTTTTCTTCTAATTTTTTTTTTAGAACATAAACCCTGCTTTTTTAAAAAAAAATTATTTATTTTTGGCTGCGTTGGATCTTCATTGCTGCACGCGGGCTTTCTCTAGCTGCGGCAAGCGGGGGCTACTCTTCGTTGCGGTGCGCGGGCTTCTCATTGCGGTGGCTTCTCTTGTTGCAGAACACGGGCTCTAGGCGCGTGGGCTTCAGTAGTTGTGGCACACATGCTCAGTAGTTGTGGCTCGTGGGATCAGTAGTTGTGGCTCGCAGGCTCTAGAGCGCAGGCTCAGTAGTTGTGGTGCGCGGGCTTAGTTGCTCCGTGGCATGTGGGATCTTCCCGGACCAGGGCTTGAACCCGTGTCGCCTGCATCGGCAGGCGGATTCTTAACCACTGCGCCACCAGGGAAGGCCCCTCTTCTTCTAACTGTTAAGCTGAGTGTGCGGTCCTCTGGGTGCCAGGCTCTGGGTGTCTGTCCGCTCCTCGGATGGACGTTACCCTTAACCCGAGTTCCTCCTATGAGGTCATGGATACTGAGGCTCAGATTAACCCTTGACCCCTTTCTTGTTTTTTTGTTTTTGTTTTTGTTTTTTGTGGTACGCGGGCCTCTCACTGTTGTGGCCTCTCCCGTTGCGGAGCACAGGCTCCGGACGCGCAGGCTCAGCAGCCATGGCTCACGGGCCCAGCGGCTCCACGGCATGTGGGATCTTCCCGGACTGGGGCACGAACCCGCGTCCCCTGCATCGGCAGGCGGACTGTCAACCACTGCACCACCAGGGAAGCCCCCTTGACCCCTTTCTTCCTCTCTGTTTTGCACCATGAATCCAACAGGACATCACAGTGGCTTGTCTTTAGTTCTGTCTGGAATCTGACCTCTTCTCACGACCCCCTTCCGCTGTCCCCTCTGGCCTCCCCTCTAGCCTCATCACTGGCACTGCCGCTGAGCATTTCCTCGGCCATTTCTCTCCCCTGATCCTGCGTTCGGCTGTGGACTCGCCGCAGCCATGGGGGGTTGGCAGGTGTGGCACCAGCAGAGGCTGAGGCACGTGCTGGCCTGTGTCCGCCACTCCCGCGGCCTTGAGCATGGGCCCTGGTCCTCCTGTCGGCAGACGCCCTGCGTCAGCCAACGGCCAGCCACTGTCAACCTTCCTGCCACCCTGCAGGTGACCACGGTCCCGACCAACACTGACAGCCCGGCCCGGCCCAGCCGAAGCCGCAGCATAGAAAAGAAACTGTGTTTTCTGCAGATGCCACGGCCTATTAGGCAACGTAAAACGGAGACACGCAGGTTCCTGAAAGGTAACTTGGGATTTTCCTTTTCCACTGAATTAACTGCCAAAGATATAATCAAGTAACTAACCCCTAAAAACAGCATGTAAAGAAATCTGAGATCTCTGTGTATATTTCATGATTCCTCTATTTTCAATAAAAATATTTATCTTCCATGTTTATTTATTTGCCAAGAACTAGGCAGCTTTACCTGAAGCTCTCCTACTCATTGGTGGCTTTCCCACTCTATTGTTTTCCTCTATGGCCATCTCCTTAAGAAGTTGAATGTGCGCTCACCCCACGACCCAGTGGTCAGACTCGCAGAACTGAAATGTGTCTCCACGAAGGCTTGTGCACAAATGTTCACATCAGCCCCAAACAGCAAACCGTTCGTGATGGTTAACTGTAGTGTCAACGTGACAGGCCACGCACGGGGTGCCCAGGTATCTGGCCAAACGTGATCGCGGGTGTGTCTGGGAAGGTGTTTGAGGATGAGATGAGCAATGGAGCTGCACGCCTCGCCTCCTGACGGTGGGCCCCATTCGAGCAGCTGAAGGCCTGACCAGAATGAAAAGACTGACCCCCCGTGGGGAAGAGCGAATTCTCCTGCCCGACGGCTCTGCGTCGGGACACTGTGTTTCTCCTGCCTTTAGTCTCGGACTGAATCATTGGCTTCTCTTGGGTCTCAAACCTACTGGCCTTTGGACTGGAGTTTACGCGATGGGCTCCCGAGGCCCCCAGCCTGTCGACCGCAGACCTCGGGGGTCATCAGCCTCTACAGCCATGGGAGGCAGTTCCTCAGCATACACCCCCATGCCGCCCAGAGGGTTCACTAGCGGGTGAATGGACGAATCCTGGAATTCTCAGCAGTAAAAAGGCATAAACTACCGAGACAGCAACAACAGACAGGAATCTTGAGAGCCCTGTGTGGAGTGAAAAAGACACAGATGAGTTCATACTGTGTTTCCATTTGTGTGAAATTCCAGAGAAGACGGGGCTGTGACGCTGGAGGGCAGCCTGGCGGTGCTGGTGAAGGGGAGGTGACCTGAGGGGCACGGGGAGCCCGTGGGGTGACGGGCACGGCCCCAGTGGCAGTGGCACTTTGGCGCATGCGGGGCAAACGCGCGTTCTGTCTCAGCAGAGCTGGTTTTGCAGAAAGAATCAGCCAGCCTGGCAGGAGTGACCTTCTCTGAAACCGTGTCCTTTGCTGCCCCAACCTGCAACACAGGACGTTTAGATGGTCGGGCAGAAACCAAGTTGAGCCCAACCCATCTGAAGCACAGGGGCCGGGGCGGGGGTGTTCCTCCTGCTACTGGCCCTTCCAGGTAGGCGGTGATGCTGGCCCTGCCCATCCCCCTGCCCCTCCCTCACCCCGTGGGGGACCTGAGGAGGCAGAGGCTGGGCTGGAACAGAACGTGGGGTGTCCCTGGCCCTCGGGCCTCCAGCCGGCCTCACCCTCAGTCTCACGATGCCTGGAGGTCTGGGCCGAGCCGACTGCCACCTTCAACATGATCCGGAGGCCACAGATCACTTCTCACCAGGGAAAGCTTCCCAAGACAGAGCGTAGAGGGCACGAAGAGCAAACGGAAGTCTCACGAGGCCTGGAACACAGGTGAACAGGGAGGAACTGTTTCCACGTTAGCCGGACTTGCCAAACGGGTCAGTTCCAAATGGGTGCGAGGATTCTCAGCAGCTGTTCCGCGTCTCGTCCGAACCAGCCCCGTCTGACTAGTAGAGGCGGTCCTAGGAGATCTGGTCGTGCAGCCCACGCTGGGTGGCGACTTTGCTGCTGTAGTTAATTAGTTTCTTAACCACGCCTTCAGCCATGTTAACACCACTCCCCAGATTTGAGAACTCATTAAAAGAGAAACGCTGGATCATAGAAGCAATAACCTGAATTTTGTCCAATGTACTGAGAATTCATTTTAAATGGAAACGTGTTTTCTTGCTGAGGACTTTGGGGGGTGCCTCGGGGTGCGAAGGAGCCAGTGCCTAGCTGACGTGCACGATGTTCCCTGCAGGCTCAGAGCGCCCCTCTCGGTGCTGGAGAGAAGGTGCTCTGTGACCTGGGGCAGGTGCCTGGGCGTCTCTGTGCCTCAGCTTTTGCCCGTGAGAAGGAGGTGGCGATGGGAGCCTCCCACACACACACACAGGCCGCTGCCAAGGACGAGGGCAGAGAACACACCGGCTGTGAGGGGCATGATTCATACTTTGCTTTTGGTCTAATTTGCAGCTTTTGCCTTTGACGACACTATTTGCCTCGTGTGGTTGTTGTGAGGATTAAATGAGATGATTTAGGTAAACTGTCTGATAAGTTCAATAAGTCAAAGTTATTTATTTCGGAAGTTTATAGCTAAGGATGTAACTGTAAAAATTGTTAATGTTGGATGATGCCTTTAAGCCTAAAGTTAGGTGTCATTTGCCTGTTTTCATTTGGAGGTGGCCTTTTCACGTGTTCTCTGGGTGTCGATCTCACCGCAACCCCATGAAGTGAAAACCCTGACCCGAGGCAGCCACTAATCTGCCTTCTGTCAGCGTCACATCTGTATATCGGATATTTAACATGTCCGTAATCTTTAGGAGAATCTGGCATATTAGGGAGTCTGACAAAATAGGTTTGTCATTTCTATGTAAAGTGTATAATTAAGTGTAGACTTGTAATTTTTTTTAACATCTTTATTGCAGTATAATTGCTTTACAGTGTTGGGTTAGTTTCTGCTGTATAACAAAGTGAATCAGCCATATGTATACATATATCCCCATATCCCCTCCCTCCCACCCTCCTTATCCCACCCCTCCAGGCAGTCACAAAGCACCGAGCTGATCTCCCTGTGCTATGCAGCTGCTTCCCATTAGCTATCTATTTTACGTTTGGTAGTGTGTATATGTCCATGCCACTCTCTCACTTCGTCCCAGCTTACCCTTCCTCCTCCCCGTGTCCTCAAGTCCATTCTCTACATCTGTGTCTTTATTCCTGTCCTGCCCCTAGGTTCTTCAGAACCTTTTTTTTTTAGATTCCATATATATGCGTTAGCATACGGTATTTGTTTTTCTCTTTCTGACTTACTTCACTCTGTATGACGGACTCTAGGTCCATCCACCTCACTACGAATAACTCAGTTTCGTTTCTTTTTATGGCTGATAGACTTGTAATTTTTAAATTAAAAAGTTTAAGAGCATTTGACAAAGTTTGTAAATGCTATTGGAACGTATACAAGAAGTTGAAAGTTCCTGTACTTACAACTTTGATTTATTGGATTTTTAACGAGTTGTTTAAGGTTGTCATAAGTTTTTTTGAGTTGGGGATATAGATTGCTTGCGCCCTTCAGACATTTGAAATATTTAAGAAGAAAAATGAATATATTAAATTTATAAGTGCAGTTCAAAATGTGGAGAAGAATTTAATTAAATGGATTGATTTTTAAGAGTTTAGTTGGTTCAACTGATTGAAGGTGATTCTTACGTTATCTGAAGTTTTACACATACTAGAACATGACATAAGATTTGTACAATGAACATAAAAGCTAGAGGAAAAAAAGGTTTTTTTGAATTTGAACTTTAATAAGGCATCATTCATTTGAAATTTAAGTAGCTGTAAAGTTCTTTCTGTGCATTAAAGTCCCTGTCGCTCATTAAAAAAAAAAAAAAAAAAACCCGAAGACCCAAACCACACATAGACACAGTCTCACAGCCTTCATTCATGCAGAGCTGGACACAGTCCACACGTAACTGAACGGGCCTTGGCCTTTCCTGCACAGTCCCGGCTCCCAGCTTTCGGAGTGGGGGAGGGGAGGGAGGGGGAGGGGTTGCCTGGCGATGACCTCATCGTGGTGATGTCGGCCCTGAGCTCTACCCGGAGTGAGCAGTTGGGAGAGGAACCTGCAGACTGATGCTTGGATCTGTGATATTAGTGTTGGCCTTTTCTTAAGAAAAGAAAAAACCCTTCCTCTCCAGAACACACTGGGTTTCCTCTGATCGCTCTGCTCTTGATATGTGGCACGATGCCCCGGTACCAACCCCCGACACCCGAGAGGTGCCCTAGGACTGGTGTCCTGGCACCTTCGAGCGAGGGAAGCAGGACCCCAAGCGCACCCTCAGCCGCAGCCTCCATCGCAGCGAAGGGCAGGAAATCATACTCGGTTCTGCATCTGCCTCGTGTTTCGTCTGGTTTGGGCCCTAAACAGTTGAAGAACAAACCTGAAAGGACGACGGGGAGGACCGGGGTCCGCACACACTCACACGCTCGGGATAAACGCTAGAAGGAAGGGACGCGCTTTCTGAAGGGGTTTTGAGGGTCTTGGGAATGAAAGTTCTTAGCTCCCATGTTTCCTCCTTCGTGGGGACCCCGCGGCCGGCGCCGGGGGCCTCGCCTGGGACCAGGGCGCTGCGGTGAGGACGGAGGGCCGCCCTGAGCAGGTCCGAGCTCCCGCCAGAGAACCGCTGACTTCTGAGGGTGACTTTGTTGTTGCTGTTGATCTCGCTTTCAACTTTGAGAGGAAACTAGAAGGGGGGCGCGGCCTCTATCCCACGAGAGTCTCTAGCTCCCTATTTGGGCCTCCACCCCACGGACGCCCTCGGAGCCCAGCCGTCATCATCTTATCCCTGGGCGTCCCGGGGTGCCGCCCAGCCCGCCCCACTGTGGACCACGGGACCTGCAGTTCTGGCGGCCGGGAAAGGTCCAGGTCTGGTTCTGTTGGCGTCGCACACAGTAAAGCTGCACGTGCATAGACTCCAGGGAGGGGTCGGCGCCTGTTCCTTGAGCAGCAGACCGTTCGGAACCCAGGGGAGGTCCCTGCAGAGGCGGCGAGTTTTGATCCAGCGGCCGCATGTGTGACTCCCGTGGCCTCAGGCCAGGGGGACGTTTACATGCCTTCACTCGATATTCACACGTTTGAGAACTTATTCAATAAAACTATAAGCCATTTAAAAAACTATAAACCATTTTGTTTTTCCCACTAAAAAATGTCATGAAAACTCCTAGAGTGGCTCGAAGAAGACTCCCAGGGACGACAGTAGTTTCTGGGCCGTGTTCAGAGCTCGCTACGCTCTCGTCTCTGGGAGCAGCAGGGCTGGATGGCTTCTGACGGTGAGACTTCGCCACATGCTTCCCTCCACGCGGTTCCTCCTTCCCCCTCCCGAAGGTCCCCCAGAAGGAATACTTTCAGAGTGAATGACAACAACAGGAAAAGCGTGACACAGAAAAGAAAAGAGAGGGAGGCTTTGGGAAGGAGAAAAGTTCTGTCTCTTGCCAAGGTGTGTTCAATTCATCAAGCTGTGTCCTCCTGTGTGTACATTTTAGTTCAATGTAAAACTTAAAAAGTTTTTGCATAGATATATATATGTGTGTGTGTATATATATATATATATTAATCATGGTAAAATACACAACATAAAATCTACTATCTTGGCCATTTTTAAGCGGCATTAAGTCACGTTGTTGTGCAACCATCGCTGCCATCATTTCCAGAACTTTGTCATCTTGCAAAACTGAAACTCTTCCCAGATAACACCTCTACATCCCCCTCCCCTAGCCCGACACCCACCCTCCTTTCTGCCTCTGTGGATCCGGCTCCTCCAGGGACCTCCTGCAAGTGGAGTCACACAGTGCTTGTCCTTTGTGTCTGGCTTATTTGACTGAGCATAACATCCTCAAGGTTCATGCATGTTTAGCAGGTGTCAGGATTCCCTTCCTTTTTAGGGCTGAATAACATTCCATGGTATGGAATAAACCCTTCCATTTCCATGGTATAAACACTTCTGTTTTAAAACAAAGGTAAAAGGTGGGAATGCATAGACACAAGAAAATGCTGGCAGCCCGTGGATAATGTTAATTCATTGACCCGGAGGGTTTGTGTGGTGCTTCTGTGGGTCAGGGTTACACGTAGCATTTTCTGTCCATTCTGGTCTACTCCCCACAACTTTAGTTCCATTTTTTCGGATGAGAAAACATCAATAAAGGCAGAGAGGTGAAACCAATTCCCCGAAGTCATGGGGCTGGAAAGGAGCGGTGCTGAGCGCAGACCCGCTCCTGTGACCGAGGCCGAGCCTGGGCTGGGCTGGACCTGCCCACCTTGCAGGGTGGCTGCGCTGGGGGAGAGGGAACCTTCCGAGTTATAGGACGCGTGACGGCACCACTGAGCCTGCGCAGAAGCCCTGACTTCCTGCCGACCACTTCGGGGTCACCCTGGGCCTGGCTGAGTGGGGCCTGCAGCGTGGCGGCCTGGGGTCGTCTTCCCCAAAGGGGCCCGCAGAGCGCGCACCTGGGCACCTGCCCGTGGCCCTAGTCCCCTCGGCTGCGGAGAGTCCCCTCGCCGCCCCCATGCGCTTGGCCGCCCCCGGGAATGCTTGGCGGGGCCGGGGCGATGGGTGCCACCTCCCCTCAGAGCGCCGCTCGTGTGTCCGTGGCGACGGGTCGGGACGCGCCCCTGGAGCCCCGTGCGTGCAGCTCAGGCCTGGCACCGCCGGTGACGCGCTGTCCGCAGGGCCAAGCCCCTTCCCAAAACTATCCATGGGGACAGCTTTGGCACCCATGGTCACAACCAGTGAAGAGTATGGGAACTTCCCGCCAATTCTTGTCTGGTGGGGTTGCATTTTGAATTTGGGTTTCTTTCGAGCCTTCGAAGCATCTGGGCTGGTCTTGGTGTTGTTATGCTGTGTCCTGCATCCATCCAGAAGTGGGTTTGCCAGGCGGGGGCAGTGTGAGTGGGAATATTGCATTTCTGATCAAGAACTTGCCATTAGACACACACAGGTATCGCCCCGCGTCATAAAAGCAGAGCTACAAATACACAATTATGTGTAATTATACACAGAAGGGTCTTCCCCAAGAACCACAAACTCCAGCCTTGCTGGGGGAAAGATCTCTTGGGCATCATGCTGAGTGAAGTAAGTCAGAGAAAGGTGAATACTGTGTGTTTCCACTAAAATGTGGAATCTAAAAAATACAACAAACTAGTGACTATAACAAAAAAGGAACAGACTCACAGATGGAGAACAAACTAGTAGTTACCAGTGTGGAGGTACAAACTGCTATGTATAAAATAAAAAAGCAACGAGAATATATTGTACAGCACAGGGGATACAGTCTGTGGTCTATAATAACTATAAATGGAGTAGGACTTTTAAAAATTGTGAATCACTTTGTTGTACAACTGAAACTTATATAATATTGACATCAACTATACCTCAAAAAAAAAGTTTTCAA